TTTTTTATATGTATTTACTAGAACATTTCTATCAATTTTATAATTAATTTTTATATATGCTAAAATTTTTCAATATATTCAAGAAGATATATTAGGATTATAAGAGATTATAAGAGATATAAGAGATTATAAGAGAATAGTTTATAAGTTAAATACACATTAAATATTTGGATTATATTTTTTGATTTTAAGATTGCAATGGGTATGAACAGGATGAGAATTTTATGAGTTCCCATTTATGTACTAACAAAAGTCTTGCTAAACTTGATGAGTTATTATGGTATCAAGATAATATAAAATTATATACAATATATCCTCAAGTATGTACAAAATAGCAATACTTTCTCACTAATATTTGTAAATGTGAATCAACAAGATCATCAATTTATTAATTATTTCATTTAGCAACAAGTTAATATATCTGACTGGTTGACCTATCCATGTGGAAGTTCTTTGTTTCCACTATGCACAAATAACTGTTGTCAAATTTTAAACAAGTCTGATGTTAAGATGCACATCCTTGTTGAAGTTGATCTTGAAACTTATAAATCTCAGGCCTCAACCATCTGTGCAAAAGTATAATGTTCAAATCTTTATTCATTTTATTACTTATTCTTAAGTATTTATACATATATTATGTAAACATTGATATCACTGTTTTTTAAATAATTGATTATCGTATTCTATTTATATGCATTGTTTTGCAGCTTGAAGATTATGGTCTAATCACGGCGTGGACGACATCAAATAAAGACATGAGTTTTATTTTGGAAACAGACATGGAACATATGACAAGTTTCATAATTGGAATTATGCAAGGACAATATTTCATTAATAATGGCTTACTTTTAATACATATTCAATGTATATTTTTGCATCTTAAAATCTGATATACTTTGGTAATTTTTATTTGCTTCATTTTAGTTCATTTTTCAGCTGTTTTGGTCTCGGGAAAGCCATGTATTTACAATGATACTGGACATCTCGGTCCACCGTCAGACAAAAGCAAGTTATAATATAAACTAATTCTTGATTTTATGTCTCTCAAAGTGCAATAATTATAACGATATACTTTTTATACAGATATTTTTTATTTATTAAGTAATGCAGCTCGAATAGCTTTCCAACAAAATAAGCTTATTGAAGTTGCTAAATTATGTGGTGTGAATGTACAACCACAAGATAAAAATCTAAACACCGAAGTATCTACAGATTCTGCAGGTATTATTAAAGACATTGATATATCAGCATTGCACGTAGTTAAAATTTGATTTTTTTTTTGAAAATTTATTAATATTTTTGATTTTTTCTATCTTTTAGATACTAAATCGACTAGCTCTACACCAACAACATCTCATTCGTCATCAGTTGCTGCAAGTATAACGCAGCAAGACATAGAAATCTCACTTAACTTAAATAGCACATTATCAAAAGAAATGCCTACTGCCATTAATGGAAGAGAAAGATCTGATCATTTAACTAAAACTCATTTACCTGATATTACAAAGAATAAAGACAATACATTACTTGATATCAAAAGTGAAGTGTCTACTAAAAATATTGATCAAGACAAGCTTACTAGAGAGACTACAAATTTAGAAGCTTCTTCCACGTAAGTATCCTTAAAAATTAAAAAAATGTTTTTAAAAGGTAATAAGTTGATTATTATATTTATGTTACTATAGCTATAATAACTATAGCTATAGCTACTATAAATAATATTTAATTCTTATTCATATTAATTTACAGAACTTTTAAATTGGAAAAAAAAAATTGATTAAACCACCAAATATAATCATCTATGCTGATAGCCCAAATGCAATTAGCAATATAAAGAATGTATTATTAAAAGTATTGGAACTAGATAAGTACGTTGCATTAAGTTTCATCAGAAATTTATAAAACAATTTTTAACAATTTATTTCTGCAAATAATTATTTATAAATAGCTAATTATTTTTGAAAAATAAATTAGCTATAAATTAGCTATAAATAATTAGCTATAAATATTTTATTTTTTAAAGGTATGTCATTTATGCGTTCTCAAGAGAAGACGCTCGCTTGAACGCTTGGGTAGATCAGGTTACTTTAGTTGTTATTTGCGGCAATGTTGATGCAGAGTTTGGTGCTCAGCTTGTAGAATATATTATACACGGAGGTAAACTTCTAGCGTTATGTTCCGACATGCTGCACACTTTGCTACCATCGTTCAAGACTGCGGAAGTGCGTGAAAGTGAACTCGTCCACTTTTCGTATGGTAAATGGAAACGAGTGCGTATGATGCATCACATCTTTTGCTATCACGCTTCTCCCGTACGAACTCGTTTCTCTCAAGATCAGGAAGATACAAGGTAATATTTTCTGTAAATAAACAATGAGAAAGAAGGAAAATATTAAGCCAAGTAAGAAAAATATTGAAAAGAGAAATTTCATAATTATAATTTCTGTAGAACGCCTGCATTGAATCCTCCAACTTCGACTAGTGTTAAGGACAAAAGAGGAAAATTACATTCGTTTGATGTGAAAGTATTGGGTAGGGAAGAAACGTGGCACAATCCAAGCATACTACTTGCGACTCTGGCTAGTAGTGGTGGTAAAGTGGTGTTTTCCCAAATCCATTTAGAGATAGATCCAATGCAATACGAGTATGAAGAGGATAAATTTGAAGCACTGAAAAAGAGTAATGTTGCACGTTTGGAAATAATCAGTGATCTGCTAAGCACACATTTAGGATTGGAGACAAGTCATGATCAAATATCTATACAATATACTTCAGCTTACTTTTTAGGCAAATTTGAGGTATACAAATATACTCAAGAATGAAAAGTCTTGATAATAATGATTATCTCAATTATTACATGATTAGCAATTAAACAATATGATTTATATATCCTATGAATATACAGCATCTCGCTATACATTTGTAGATGAAAATGAAGATGTTTGAAAAGCTGAAAAGTAAAATGCAAGAGAATAACATATTAAAAATGCCTAACTTAGACATTCGGTTTTATGCAAACAACGAAGACGTGCAAGCTTCATCAGTTAACTTCCTCCCTATTATGATGCATATGTGTCCACCTAATTTCTCGACTGTAGATTATTTTGAGGTGAATTCTTATTTATCTTAATTGCACTTTCAATATATTAGCCATAATTGTACATCTACTAGAGATTTGTTTAATATATATATAAATAACTTTGTATTAAAAAGGAGTTTAAAAAATTTTGCATGGAGGATGGAATTTTGCATGATTAAATTCGATGAACTTATTTTCAGAATCTCTATACAAAGGAATTAGGTCGTCTAGTAATATACGTGGATGTTTTATCATCATCTATGTATGTGGTTAACGGTCGATTAGAACATGGTCTGACAGTTATTCCACGACGGCAAACGCAAGGACAAGGTATTATTCTTTAATTTTTAATTATATATATATATATAAAATAATATAATTGCTGCGTCATTTTTAGGACGATCTCGCAATATGTGGCTCAGTCCAGTAGGTTGTGCCATGTTTACTTTACAAGTACATATTCCTATAAGTTCGTATCTTGGCAGTCATATCTCGCTTCTTCAACATATTGCTGCTGTAGCACTTGTATCAGCTGTAAGATCTATTGAAGGATATGAGGTATTTTTATAATATTTTTCTATTACAATTATAATCTATACAAATTCTGGATTTTTATATAATACAACATTTTTTAATAATTGTTAATGTATACAATGGAATTAATAATTAATAAATTTATTTTTCAGAATCTTGATCTCAAAATAAAATGGCCTAACGATATATATATTAATAATACAATCAAAATTGGTGGTTTGATCATTCCTACACAAATAGAAGAATCATTGTGCATTTGTAATATCGGTAAGGACGATTACAAATAAAACATAAATTTATGGATAATTTAAAAAAAGAGTGAATCGAGAATTTTTTTGATGTTAAAAAATCCAAATATAATTTTCAATTAACTATTTTATACTTATTATACTTTTGAAATTGAATTCAATATAATAAGCATAATAAAATATAGCTTTGTAAAATTATCAATATATACGATTCGTATTTGAAAAATTTTTCTTAAAATTAAAAGAAATAGAAATAAAAATTTATAGATTTTTAGATTCGATAAATTGAATTTCATCTAATTCAATTTGAATTCAAATAATTTATACATCTCTAAATTTAACTCATTTAAGTGAATGTAAATATATATTTCAGGTGCTGGTGTAAATCTTTCTAATAATAAACCTACATCTTGCATTAATGATATAATTTTGCAATATAATCAAAAATATGGTACAAAGTTGAAAACATTCTCATATGAAAAATATTTGGCCTTGGTATTCAATGAACTGGAAATTTTATTAGATATTGTACAAAGTGGCAACGTAGAACATTTCTATCAACTCTATTACAAATATTGGTTGCACATGTAAATAGTCATACTATAAATAATTTGATTTTGTTTATGCTTTTAATAATATTTTTACTGTACACACATACACACACACACACACACACACACACACATATATATATATTATTTTTTTTT